TTAAAACCTTATGTTAGAATAATTTTTCCTAGTCCCTGAAATAAGTCACCACAGAATGAGGAATTCCCTTATTCAAGAACCTTGGTACTCCAACTTATAATTCAGTGATTGATCATTGTAGTGGAGCTGTAATATGGGACCCTGTCAGACTATAACTCTTCTTGTTTGAGTGTTGTCCTCTCTTCTGCTGTAAAGCTTATTGTTAGAAAACAGATGGGAGATTGGTGTGCATTGGAAAGGAGTGCAGGCACTATCCTTAATTACAAATTGAATAAAACCTGTGAACTAACAATAATAATAATAATAAAAATCACAAGCAGGGCAGATAATTTTTTGGTTTGCCTTTAGTTTAATTCCTGCCATCTTACATGTAATTTTTAGTTGTATTTGTTGGAAAGGGCAGTTCTTCTTTCTCTTGGTCTACCTCTTGCTCTCCCTCCCCTGAAAAATCATTGACTGTTCTGGTATAACTTGATTACTTGAATATTGTGAAATTCCTAGGATGATACTCACTGCTACATAAAGAGTGTCTCTCAGGCTGTGATGCCTACAATCTTTAAATTACTCAACTGGTACATTAAGTTTGTTGCATGTTCTTAGAGCACTTGCAGAACTTTTAAGTACCAACTTTGGTTTATGAGGGAGTTTCCTCTCTAAATTTTACAAACTGATCCTTGTCAAAGTCAGGACGTGAACCTTGTCTAGGAATAAAGGCGTGGGGTAGGGATGAAGTGGTCACCAAAAATAAAAGTTACCATATTCCCCCTTCCTCTTTACTAGCTAGTGCAGCTCAATGTTAGCAGGACCAGGTCACTTTACTTAAATCTTTTGTTCCTGGTTTGTTTCTCAGCCAACAAGAGCACAATGGCAGAAAGTATTTTACATATCCGCTGGAGTTTTTGTTTTTGGTTGGTTTATTTATTTACTCCTCGGAAGTGGTGAGCAGCAGTCATGGAACACTCCTTATGAAGATGTGCTGGTACCAGTGGATTTTCCAGGGGAGACTAGAAAACCAGCCATGGCTGCAGACCACTATTCCATTAATAATGCCGACACTCATGACAGAGATCATGCAGTACAAACCAATAGTTAGAACTTTATGTTCTCAATTAGTTGAACTGACCAAATAGTATCAACGTACAAATACAACAACAGTTTTTAACATCACTGCTAATTGAATTGGGTTTGACGTTTTTAAATTATGGGGAAGCTATGTTTGCATGCAGTTCGCGGGAATTCTAATCCATTGTTTTTATGATAAACACTGAACAGAACTGACCATTTATCTAAACCCACAGGGTATTTTTCAGTTTCAATTAGTTACTTTTTAGATGTTTTTAATTTTTTTGTAATTCAAGGAAGCTTTAAATTTAATGCCTTTTTGGCTGTCTTTTGTGAGCATGGCGGGGACCATCTATCTGAATTCTTCAATATCAAGTATGCAATTGAAATATCTTTGCCTAGCATTAACTTAATAAAATTTTTACAAAGCTACACCAGTTTGCCAAATATTACACACTTTGGACAATATTTGTGTAAGGATACCACATGTGAACTGCAATTGCAATAAATGATGCTTGATTTGCATAATTATATCAATATTTATATTGTACAGACATATTTAAATCATTCCAAAGGGTTGTTCAGGATAAAGGAACTTTTTAGGATGAGAACACACATAATTACATACCAATGAATGTAAAAATTAATGTGGAATAAGAAATTAAATTTCCCTAAGAGGGTTGAAATCTATTGTATCTATGAGCAAGGTTGGGTGTCTTTCAATGTTTGTTCTTACTCACTTATGGGTCTCATGAATCCCAAAGTTGAACACCTCTATAACAAAATTTAATTTGCCCTGCAATATTATGATATGTATCATTGTGATACATGTGATGTCAGCACTTTGGATATATTTAGAGATCAAGGTCTCTAGTGCACTTCCAGTCATACATCAAATAGTATAAATGCTTCCTCACTGGTATCCACCTTAGATCTTTAGCCATGGGGGAAAACATGATCATGTTTTCTTGTGTTGCTAATGATGTGACACAAAAATTCTGAATGGCTTAAATCCTGTTTAAGTTGGACTCAGTAGTACTGCTCCAGAGAGTAGAGCTGTTACCGTAGAATAGATTGCTTAAGACCAGTCAGAGTTCCCCTGTTAAAGGCATGTTTACTTGAATCATCAGTCCTCTTATAAGTCCTAACTGCACCATGCAAGTGGACACATTAGAATCAACGTAATTATTACATGTATATGTCAGACTAAAGTGTAGAAGAACTCGTCCTTTGCTGTTGCAAGAATCATAATGATAGGGAATAATCTTTCATTGTCTTTGAGATCATAACTCTACTACCAAAAATATCAAGTTTGGTTTTATAAGGGTTTATAAGGAGTTGATTTGAGAGTCCAGTGACTAATTCTGCATTAATCTTCATCAAGTTCTGTGATAGCATTTGGCTGATCTTGCAAATTAAATTGCAAATTAGTGTCTTTCATTTAACACTGCCCAAAGCTGTGTTCCGAGATAACAGGTTTTCAAAATTCCCTAACATAGGATCAGGTAATGCATAATTTTTTCCTTCCAGTGCAGATATACTGGTTTCATTATGGGATGCTTTCTCCCCTTTTCTTCTTTTTCAAATTAGCATTGCATTGCCAGTTACAAAGAAAGTAATTAAGGGGCCTTGCATCTCTACTCTCTCTACCTTGTTTCTTGCTGTTTAGCTGTTCTTGCCATAGTGCCTCCTTCAGTCTTCTCACTGGCTACAACTCTAAGAACTGAGTGCCCTAAACGTTTAAACTGGATATCAATTTGAATTGCCAGTTTTAAGCCCCTCAATCTAACTACCCTTACCCCTGTTTTTATGGCCTAGCCTATGAAGAAAGGAAAGGTATCTTACTCATTATGTTATAAACCAAAGTTTATTGACTTGATCCTTGAAAAGCTCATGCAGTAGATATGCATACCAAAGGTATTATACAACAGATACCCACCAACTTAAAGGGCTCACGACCATAATACAATCCAATACAGATCTTGTCTAGATACACATTGGGTACAAGTAACAGCTTGGCTTTGTATTTCCAGGGGTCACTATCTGATTATCACAAAATATGTAACTGCACATAATTAAGGTTGTAGAATATAAGTTGGGGAAAATGACAAAAAAACAAGAAAACAGCAGGCACACCTTAGCTGTTAATTACATTTTAAAGGTTGCAGGCAGGGAAATAAAATAGAAATGGCAAATTTTCCCCTGTTTATTTGCACCATTATTTAAGAAAACAAAAATGTGCAACTGAATCGCACTTTTGTAGATACAATCTTTCAACTAACCCAGCTTTAACATAGAACAGCACACTACAATCTATCACACTACATTTGAATTACACTATAGCTGGATATATGTGAAATTATTTGCTGGCTGTACTGCTGATTGGCTGGCTAGTGCAACATTACACTACTTCATACTCTGCCTTGATGGACCGCATGAGGCAGCAGGCAAACAAAATGCCAATCAACTAAAGGAAAAATAAAATATTAAGAGTTAACATTAGAGCTCTGACACACATCTGAAATACAAGGATGTTGGTTATGATTTATTTTCACCACACAAGTACATGTAGGTGGGGAAAAGTTGCTATCATTGGTCATTTTAAATAGGAGGGACTTAACTGTATGGCACTACTCTACCATCCACAACAACATGGACGAATCCAGATATCACTCATTCATTTAGTAATCCAACTAATTAAATTTACAATCCCCTTGATTTCTTCCATACTGGATCAAGGCCTCCATTAAGATGAAAATGGGATGTTACATAGATAGGGCTATGTGTGAACTGGAAAAATGTGAGTCCTACTAAACCATAGCTTCCCTAAAATTGACTCCAGTCCAGCTTTGTGAAAGTAAATAAAGCCCACAAAAAAAAGAGATTGATTGGCACTGAGAACTCAAACTTGTGAAAATTAAATACAAACCTGGACAAAAGCAATGCCAATACCAACTCCACCAACAATCAAAATGTGTTCACGAAGAAACTGTTCGAATTGTGTGAGGCATCCCTTTAACAAAAAAAATCAAAATGTTAATTTCTATCATAGATAAATATTTGGACACAATTAACAATGTTGTGTGATGAGCAGTGAGATAAGGAATAAGATAAGGGAAAACAAAAAAAACAGGAATTTAAGTTAATATAACTTAAACAATTTTTGTAAACACAAACTCTTCCAGAGGTTCCTTAACATTTTTACTTTTTTGGTAAAACTAGCACTTTACTAAGGAGGGGAAATTTTTCTGGAGCTGCACATTCAAACTAAATTAATGTAACATTTAGAATGTTTGTCTAAAACTTTAAGTGAATCATTAATAAATCTATTTAGCTCCATCACTCAGTAGTAGTAGTAGTAGTAGTATAAAGTACTTACGTACACTTGGTAAGTGAACCCTTTAAAATTTAATTTTTGACCCATCTTGGTGGGTTACTTAAAACTTTGAAAATTCATGTGACAACTTTCAACAGTAACACTGTTACCTTTCACATTATCAAAAAGGATAACAACAGCATTACACACCCTTATATACATGTCTAAACTTTCATTGACTGCATGCATGAGGTAAGTGACTAAGAAATTTTTTTCTGCCTCAAAAAATAACCTTAAATTGAGATATTTCTTACCTTTGTATAGATTTCATCATCCAGTTCGGTACTATTTAGTTTCTTTACATCCCCAACAGTGTGAGGACAAACCTTTTCATTCTTACAGCATGACGATGGGAATTTTTTATCATCAGAAGCATTAAGGTAATTCTTATAATCATCAACACCACAACATTTAAACTGAAAAAAAAGAAAGAAAAAAAAAAGCTATTGCTTAAAATAGTGTACAACAAATAAGCTTTTTGAAATGCACAAATCAGTCAAAAAAGTATGGAGTAAATCTTAACAGCCTTAGAGACAATCTGCAAGGAGTATATATGCTATCCATACTTGGATGGATCAGTGTCTATCTTACCATAAATTTTACTATGTGGTTGAGAAGAGAGTGTAAGTGTAATGAACTCTTAACACTCTAACTTCATCATGAATATTCTCCATACTGTTTACTACACAATTCCTAATTTTGGATTAGTATCTTAATCAGTTCTAAAAAAATCCTATTGATTTCATAAACTGTAAATAGTTCCTTATTGATAGAAGGAACTTGTCTAAAATATAACACAAAACCTTTAAACAGACTGAAAATTTTATTTGTTTAACCAAAACAAACATATTACATTAGACATTAATTTAGAGCTCTTTCCATTTACAGTATCAGGTTGCAGCTGGGCTGAAGTTCCTCAGCAAATTTAGCAAAATAACTTAGAACAGATTGAAAAATTGTTTAACCAAAATCAAATGTGCTTCACAAATAGATTGCATAATAGTAATACAATGTAGATCACACGTGACATCAAAATGTGGCAAGAAGAGCCCAGTGTGTATGGATGTTGAGCATGTTTATAGTTGACAAGAGTGTAATCAAATGTTTATATGGTGGCTGAACAGAATAACCAGTATTAATAAGAGTCCTATCAATTTCATATAATTATCCCTACAACACTGCATAGACATACTGTTAACCTTTCCTCGTCATGCAATGAGCCTTTTACCAGAATTAAAAGAAACTAATTTTCCAATTCCATCCCATTTTGCTTCTTTGCCTTACTCTAAGTAAAGTTCTGTTACAACAGAATAACTTAATTACCTGCTTCTGTATATTGTCTACTGCATCCATTGCATCTTTTTCACCATCAAGATACTTATCAATACCATCATCAAGTGCTTTTCTGGTATAATCCTCCAGCTAAAATATACAAAAAAACCATAAAAACACAAGACTTATAGAAATCTAACTTACCCAAGGGCTTGCTGATAGTTACCTCAAACTTTGTGGAAATGACTGAAAAAAGCTATACAATTAATTGTTACAAGAAACCATTCTTTGATCTTAACTAAATCAAACTTGACCCTTTAACTCACAAGATCTTATTAGTAATTCTCCTTACCATCTGCCTAATGAATCTCATTGTCATGTTAGTTTGGAGAATTTGGCATTGGATCAATTAGTAATCCCATTATTGATATTTTCTTTAAAAATAAATACACTAAAAAATACGGGGGCAGTCAATCAACACAGGTGAGCATTGAAAATCTTAACTTGAGCAGAGTGGTGAAGTGAAGAGAATTTCAGCTCTCTGTGAGGACAAACACAGTTTCTTTAGACATTAACCTCACTCAGTATGTACGCCTCTTTCTGTGGCAATATGGTGAATAAGCAAGATCAAGAGAACATACAGTTCTGATTGCATGGTTATCTGCACTGGTAAAATGGGCCTTAGAATTGCCCACTTTTAAAATGCCAGAAAAAAAGTGCTCAGCCATTTTAAGTTGATATCATTATCAGCCTTATATCCACTGTATACAATATTCAGTCTGATACCCAGAGTTTTAGTTGAATTTCAACATACTTTTCCTTTGTAGGCATAAGCCACAGCACCAGCAGCGATCTCCAGGATAAAAATTATGGCCAGCAAAATAGCATACTGCAAGGACATTACAGACAGTATTTAGAGCTACTAAATCAAAAACTGTAACCTGCACTACCAATATACTACATTCACAAAAATTTACAATCATGTGACCACACATCTTTCAAAATTAACTTAATGCCTGCACAAATTTTGGACACCATATTCAGTGTTTTCAATAGGATCAGGCACCTGCCGAAGCTCCAGTGGGTATAATCCAGCATACATTTCATACACCTCCAGCAAAAAAAGATTTTGTGTTTCCAAGAAAAAGCTGACTCAAATTTTGGTCACCATTAACCATATGTTCTGTCAGAGGACTTCTTGTGTGAAACCCAGGGATCATGTCAGCAAATGGAAGATTTTGATCAGAAATAAAATGATCATCTGTTTGAAGCCAGTTTGTTGTGATTGGAAGTAATGGGATACCAAGA